GAGTTCACTCTGGTGTCTCAACTTCCGTAGGCAAACTGTACAATTTGTGTGCATTACTGTTTTCCAGAGGTGCTTTAGTTGGGCGACAGGTAAAGATGCTTTCCATTTTCGCTTCCCAAGATTTTAACTAAGGATGATTGTTTGGTCCTCCAGGTAGCTTACTATCACATGGATGCTCCTTGGCAATATCAACCCAAGTGTTATCTGGCTATTTGCATATGCAGTCCACCATTTCTCATGGGGTGCAAGATGCTGTTACAATAGGATTTTCTTAAAAAGGAAAACTTTGTATAGTTTATTAATTATATAGATCTACTTGAAAAGATCTTTATTGAGACAGAGAGGTTAGGAAATAATGAGACATTACACATGCCTCTGTATAACTGGTATTCCAGCCAAAAGCTTACTCATCCTATTCAACCATATTTTGGACTCTCATTAGTTTACTTTCCTTCAAGACTCCAAGTCACTCAAAGCCATAGGAATGATAACTCCATGAGACTCCATGAGACTGAGGTTCAGAGTATAATGGGGCTAAGTGAGTTGGGTCCTTTCTTCAGATCCTCTATTGAGCTAGGATCCTTGTGAGAATGGAGGGCCCCTTCAAGTATGACTCGGGACCCAGCCAGCACTGCCTCTTGGACAGCTAGAGCCAGGAGGTCCAGGAGGCGTCTGAGGCCTGAGTACCAGGCCCCTGGCACATCTAACATTGCCTCTGTGATCATGCTGGCTGGGCTTCCTGCTGACACATTCTCGGCAGTTGTCCCTTGCTCTGAAGCTCTGTCTCAGGGTCCTGCATGCTCAGTGCCTTCACTTGCACTTTCTCCTTGGCCAGTATATCACATTCATTGGCACATGTGATACATAAATGAAATGCATTCCCTTTAGACCCCACACGTCATTCCTAACTTGCCTCTGGTTAGCCTCATTCTTCAGTATTGGTAATATAGTGACCATTGGAGGATCAACTTAAAGAAACATGTCCCCATCCGGAGGGGCAAACCATGATCTCTTGTGTGTATTTAGTGTCTGCTCCTTCGGTCTATAATTCCTATACAGATTCAGCTTCTCTTAAGCTTTTAGAAAGCTTCTGCCTCTTCCAGTCCTCTGGTCTCCCCTTCACCCCCATCCCCACCCCACTACCATGAGGTTCACACCATTTTAATTCCTTCCTAGGCCCGTCTGCTCTTTCCCAGCTCTGCCGCCTGTGTGTCCGGAAGTGCTTGGGGCGAGCATGTCATCAAACCATCCACAAACTACATCTGCCGGAGCCACTAGAAAGATTCCTCCTATACCAGTAGTCCCAACTGTCCAAGGGAAGATACTTGGAAAGAAACAGGTTGTTGCCTGCTGTACCCAGAGTACCTAGTGTAGACGCCCGACAGCTAGACTCTCAGTCACTTCAAATGAGCTAAGCCAGTTAGAGTAAAGCCCTGATGAACTGGAACACTTGGGGAGTGGAAACTCCTGGTTAGTTTGATATTCCTATTAAGCAAGGGGCAACCAGAAACCTTTTCGTTTTTAGCTCTTGTTGTTAAGAAACTTTAAAAGACTGTGAAGTAGAGTGAAAATAATAAGCTATTTTTGAAGAGTCATGATCTTCAATTATGTAAGGGTCAACATTATGAATATCGTGCAGACACATGTAAATCTGGGTGAATAAGATGGTGAGGAATGTAAGTATTCCAAGATGTGCTCCTGTTTTAGTTCCTTCCTCCTTCCCTCTTCTTTTCTTTCCTTCCGTGAATAAATCTCTGCAATAATTTTGATTTTCTTGCCTTTTTTTATGTATAAAAAAGCTGAATACTTTTAAAATGTCACAGTTAATTGAGGCTTCCAGTTCCTGAGGTCCTGGTTGATAAGACAGATGTTGGAAGAGATTAGCGCACCCAGAGGTTGGGGGTTATTGCTCATCATTTCTGATATTAAATGCTATTCTTTGAAGGAAACAGTTCCAGGATTGAGCAACACTGGGTGCTACCAGCTACCCAAACCCACTGGCCCTGTTTGACGCATGTTGCAACCCAAGCATCCATCAGCTTATTTTCAGTCAAGAGCCTCAGGGTTTTTATAATAATTCCATGTTGATGCCTGTCACCAAGACGGGTTCAGTGCTGGGCTGATGATTATTTCTGTGAGCAGGGGCCCAAAATAAGCACACAGGTATACTGGAAAAACAGCCTTCTCCTCCTCTCCTTTTTCTTCTTCCCACCTCTCTCCCTGTACGCCAGCACTCCTCCTCCCCCTTCCTCTCCTCCTTCCTTTTGTGAATTTAGAACATGGAAATTGAATAGACTTTTAATTATTATAAGTACTACTGTCATGGTTCAGTGACTATGGTAATATTAACTTGTGAAAAGAAAATTTTCTCTCAGATGATCCTAAGATTCATTCCAAACATATTTTTTTTCTAGTTTTTCTAGACCTTTGATTCTCAGCTGGGGACAATGTTGCCCTACCCTCACTTGGGGATATTTGGCAAAGTCTGGAGACCTTTTCGGTTGCAACAACTGGGGGAGGGATGCTACTGACATCTAGTGGATGCAGCTAATCATTCTGCAATGCACAGGGCAGCTCCCTATGGCAAAGCATTATCAGGTCCAAAATGTCGATAGTGCTGAGGTTGAGCAGCACTGCTCTAAATCTGTGCTGTTCAGTGCAGAAGCCACTAGCCACATGTGGCTATTGAGCAGTTGAAATGTGGCTAGGCTGAATTGAGATATGTTGTAAGTATAAAATACATACCACGTTTTGAAGATTCGGTACAAAAAAAGAATGTGAAATATTTTATTAATAATTTCGATGTTGATTACACATTGAAAGAATATTTTGAATATATTAGGTTAAATAAAATTCATTATTAAAATTAAGTCCACTTTTTTAACTTTTTTAATGTGACTGCAATATCATTTTAAATTACACACGTGGCTAGCATTTTATTTATGTTAGTACTGTTGTAGATCTTTTTCTGATTTTCATAACTTTGGAATATCAAATAAGTTAATCTTAATTAGTTAAGTATTTGGGAGGAAAAGGTTAAATTCTTATTTTACATAATATTCCAAAAACAAATCTTGTTTTTTAAAAAAATGTTAAAACATTTTAAATGATGCTGTAAAATACTAGAATAAAATGTTCATAAATGTACATGAAAGGGAAGGTCTATTCTAAGCATAATATCAAAGGCATAAACTTTCAAGGAAAATACTGGTAAATTAAAATACATATCAGAACGTTCAGGAATTGGAGGCTTTCTATCTTCCAAGTGCTCTCCTGAGTGCCGTTTTTGGTCAACCTGAATCTTGCTGAATGTCTGAGCTCTGTATTAAGCCCCAGGATGTCCTAGGATACTCAGTCCATCGTGGCCCCAAGGAACTTGAGACTCCTGCTGCTCCATCCACTTTCTGAAACTGCAGACCATGGATTTCACGAATCCTTTGTATGGACCTCCCAACTCTGGTAGGTGTGTGCGTGGAGGGGGCACTCTAATCCTGAATTGAATCCCAAGAGACCACTCACCAGAAGCGATCTTCCGGTTCCAGAAGGATGTGGATGCAGAACAGGGCCAGATCCCTGCATCTTGAAGTTGTGATGTTCTATGATTTATGAATGTAGAGATTGGATACGACGTAGACTTTAAATTCCCTTCGAGCCCTACATTCCATCAAGCTAGAATCAGACCATCAGAGGAATCATCTGGTTTATGTGACATTATATTGCTTGCTTTTGGGGGTTCTTAGCACTAATATAGATTATTTCATTTTTCACAGGATGTGGGATATTTCATCCCCAAAATGGTGTAATTTTTTACAATTTCAATCATATTTGAAGTGCTCTAGGATAACTTCCCAATGAACTCATTCAACACATTTTTACTCAGCATCTATTAAGTGCCACACACTGTTTGAGGCCGTAAAAAAGATAGATGAGGTCCTTGCCCTTGAAAAGTTTATGTGTTAGTGGAGGCAATGGGAAATAAGCAACACATACATACATATCATCATGTCAGGAAGTGATAAGAAGAAAAATAAAGCAGATTAGGGTAAAGAGTGATAATGAGAGCTACTGTTTTAGGTGAGGTGATTAGGCAAGGTTCCTGGCAAGATGCCTGAATTTTAAAAGAACTGCTCATGCATGTATCTAATATTTATTCATTTTTACTGTTAAGGTTTTAGTGACTCTTTTCAGTGTATTTTCAGTACATCATGTTTATTTTGTTTGTTTCTTTGCCTGATTTAATGTAGCAATGCTATTATAAAAGTATTTTTGATTCCTGCTTTTCCCACAAACTATACTGTAATGATTTTCTGTTTCAAACCCTTTGAAACTATCCTTTTAAAATGGTTGTATTGTATTCCTTAGCTATTTCTGTATTGTTGGATACTTAATTTGTGATTTCTTGCTATTATAAATAACACTAGTGTGAACTTCATTTTTTGTACATTTTAAAATTTTTGAAGTATTTTTAGAAGATTTTCAGAAGTGATATTTACTGATTAAGAAAATTATTTAGAGCCAGCCTTGATGGCCTAGTGGTTAGGTTTGGTGCTCTCACTGCTTTGGTGGCCTGGGTTTGCTTCCCAGGCATGGAACCACACCACCCCTCTCTCAGTCACCATGATGTGGCAGTGGCTCACTTAGAAGAACTAGAACAACTTACAGTTAGGATATACAACCATGTACTGGGGCTTTGGGGAGGAAAAAAAAAAAGAGGAAGCTTGGCAACAGATGTTAGCTTAGGGCAAATCTTTCCCTACCAAAAAAAAGTCAACTTAAAAAAAAGAAAACTATTTAAAATAATAGTTTAAAAAATTTAAAAAATATATATACAATGAATCTTTTTTTCTTTTTTTTTTTTGGTGAGGAGGATTGGCCCTGAGCTAACATCTGTTGCCAATCTTCCTCTTTTTGCTTGAGGAAGATTGTCACTGAACTAACATCTGTGCCAATCTTCTTCTATTTTATATGTGGGACACCACCACAGCATGGCTTGATGAGTGGTGTATAGGTCCGTGCCTGGGATCCAAACCTGCAAACCCTGGGCCACCAAAGTGGAGCGCATGAACTTAACTACTATGCCACTGGGCCAGCCCGTACAATGAATCATTTTAAGGGAAACATTTTCATAACCAAACAAGTACCCAATATTACCTATCCATATACCATCTGTCTATATATAGAGACATCTAATCTACCTATCTATATACTATGTGTCTGTCTGTCTGTCTATCACCTATTTGTCTATCCATCATTTATCTGACTGCATCTGTCATCTGCCTTGACCGATTATTTAAAAAAAAAGCTTTCCTGTGTCACTTGAAGGTTTAAGCCTCAACTCTTTCAAAATCCCTTAAATTATTTAAAAGGTTGGGTATGTCATTCAACATCTCTAAGTTTTTTGTTCATATTTTATTAAGGAATTGTTTCTCCCAAAGTAATTCTTCTCCCTGATATGTCTAGTATTGCCATGTCAGACAAACCTGAGGTTTACAGATGATTCTTTTTTCAGTAACAATGCTCATTGCTGAAAAGATTTTATTCGCTTAACACAAAGAGAAGAGCTGACGCTTCAGAGACATTGCCTGAAGCTGTCATGGTGAGGGACGAACCGTTGAATAACCACAGCTCGTCAGGGGAGGGTGCTTTCTGCGCTGGAGGACCTCACATTTTCTCCCATTGCAAATCATCGCCAGGGGCTGCTCCTGCATGGACATTTGCATATGGAATATATCATCTCCTTCCCTTAGCAGAATCTGTACTAGGATGAATACCGGGTCATACTCAGAAGAGCAGCTTCCTATTTTAACATGAGTTTAACCCATAAAAGGTGTATACCAGGTTTTAATTTTCATTTATTAATTTTTCTTCCTTCACCATTGTTATATCTTGAAAATTTTCCCACTTATAGAAAAATTGCAAGAATAATACAATGAATATTTTCGTGTCCATTACCTCAATTCACCAACTGTTAGCATTTTGCCACATTTGCTTATGTGTGCTACATACGCTATGCATGCCACATTTGCTATGTATATGTGTATACATATGTACTCAGGCCTATATAATATATATGTATATATGTAAGCCCGTGTATAATTAATACATATATAAATATTTAAAAAAATGAACCATTTGTGAGTAAACTGTGGACATCACGATTCTTCACCAGGGCTAGGATAGGATGAGGTGAGTGAGGCAAAAAATTTAAGGGGGCAAAGAAAAACTCAGTCATCCAGATAAATATTTTAGTGCAATATTAAAAAATTCAATGTTAAGGAAAAAAGCCCACGATGACCAAAATCTCAAAAATTTTAATAAAGACAGGCTGTTGTTTGTTTGTTTTATGACACTGCATAATTGTGCAATGAGAACAGTGTTTCCACAGCCTGCGGTTCTGGGACATGTGGCTGTTGGGTTTATGAGGAATGACAATGGCTTGCAAATGGATCGGACAACGTGAGCTTGATAAATACTCATGTGTTTTGACTGTTGAACTTGCATTAACTTTTTCTATTTGGTGCAAACTGTTTACATAGGGATGTTCGTTACTGCCTTTGCATCATGCTCCCGTATGGCTCTGTGCTGAGCACTTCAGCATGCATCTCCTAAGAACGCAGAGGTTCGTATCTTCCTAACTGTGGTGCAGGATAACATGCAGAAAGTTTGACATTGATGCACTATGATTATCCCATGTAAGTCCATATTTAAGTTTCCACGATTGTGGCATTGATGTCTTTTATGTCTTGTCCCCCTCCCCCCAATCAGGATCCAATCAAGGGTCAAGCATCGTATTTAGTTATCAAGTCTCTTTATTCTCCTTTAACCTAGAAAGCCTCCCCCGCACTTTTGTCTTTCACACAACTGGCATTTTTGAAGAGTCCAGCCCCGTTGTTATGTAGACTCTCTCTCAATTTTGATTTGCCTGTCTGTTTCTTCAAGAATACTAGATTATGCCAGATTTTTAAAAACACATGCTTGTTTGAATCTTATTGTACCGTTAGATGGAGTGGGAATGAATGACTGCTTTCTAAAGTAGCAACATCAGACAGCTTAGCATGCAGAGCCGGTTATGCGCGGACAGCCGAAACAGATAGGGATTTTGCAGAAAAAGCAGACCATCCCAAATTATCAGAGGAGATGTGCACCTTTTAGGTTTTAAAGGTTTTGTGCTAGAAAAATTGCCAGCTGGAATGACAAGAAGCTTCAGCTCCTGAGCCAACTTTGATTGATTGGAGGTGGCTTTCAAGGCCCCCCAAGACCTTAGGAGGAGAGTCTCATAACTCATGAGTGATGTCAGCCAGGGACATCCAGGTGAGGGGCGGGGCAGAGGCGCTGGCTGGTGTTGAGACTGCACCTGATAAGGGATGGTCATGGCATTACTGCTGCTGCAAGCCATAATTCTTTTTTCTAGCCTAACCTGGGCCAAGTTTCCTGAACGTGCAGACACACAGAGGACTGACTAGAAGTTGGGAAGATTGTTTTTCTCCTGTGGCTCGTTGTAAGCCAGCCTATTTCCGTATAATCACAGCTCATACACACGTAATTCAACTTTATCCTCATACAGATCCTTTAAAACACACGAACTCCTCTCGTAATGGTTTTCTAATTCCTGACTAGAATGTTGTTAAACAGTCCAAAAATATCAGTTCCCATCCTCCTATTCACAAGTGTTGATCCACATTATAAATATAATGAGAAGATTAAAAGCTGATTAAATCCCTCCCAGGTACTAAGGCAACAACCTGGACATCTTCGTCATTGTCATTTTGGACAATAAACCTAAATTTGAATAGGGAGAAACCTTATCTTCTTGGAATTTAACTAAAAATAAATAAAGAAGCTGTACTATGAAGATTTTACTCAGAAAGAATGGCGACGGTATCCAGCTTCCCCACTGCGTCCCTCTGTTGAACTCCTTGTCATCCAGTCTAGGTTGAGAGGAAATTTCTCCCTCTCTGCCGAATATGAGTTTTATCATTCTTCAAATCTGTCCTGATGGAGTGGTGGACGATGTATATATTTACGGCCTTCTCGGTTAAGTCTGCAAATAGAGCTAGAGGGCAATTTGGCAGTGTTTATCTCAATTTTAAGTGAAGAGCCTCTTTTTCAAGGTGAAATTTGTATTGAGATAGTTGTACATTCACGTGCAGTTGTAAGAAATAATACAGGGACGTCTCCTGTAGCTTTGCCAGTTTCCCCCAATGATCACTTTTTGCAAAACTGTAGTGCAGTATCACAACCAGGAAAGCGTCATTGATACAATGCACTGATCTCATTTGAATTCTCCAGTTTGACTTGTACTCACCTCTGTATGTTTTTAGTTCTATAGAGATTATCCCATGTGTATGAGCACACATTTGACCCAGCATTTCCACACTTAGGAATCTCTTCTCCAGAAATCTTTGCATATTTGCACAAAGCCATATGTACAAAAATACGGACTGCAGTATTTTTGTAGTAATAGAAGAAATGATAACATTCTGCCTCCATCATTAGGGGGAATGATGAAATCCTTTTAGCACACTATATAATGCTATGCAGTAGTGTATAAAGAAAGGGGCGTAGCTATAGATGCTGAAATGGAAAGATTGCCAAGACAAAGTAAGTGTAAAAAGCATAGAACAGGGGCTGGCCCAGTGGCATAGTGGTTAAGTTTGCACCCTCTGCTTTGGGGGCCTGGGATTCGTGGGTTTGGATCCTGGGTGCGGACCTACATACTGCTCATCAAGCCACGCTGTGGCAGCATCCCACATCCACATACAAAATAGAGGAAGATGGGCACAGAAGTTAGCTCAGGGCCAGTCTTCCTCAGCAAAAAGGGAAGGATTGGTGGCAGATGTTAGCTCAGGGCTAATCTTCCTAAAAAAAAAAAAGATCTACAATCATTTCACAGCCAGACTATGCTTGAGACTAACTGCGAGCCCCCTGGAATGGGGAAGAAAACTCCCCTTCCCCCCTGTAAGAGAGGACCAGCAGGAGTCTGGGGGTGGCCATCAGCCTGAACTAGCACCCAGGGCTGTGGGGAAACTAGGTTTATCTGAAGGACACATGTACAAAACCCAAGGCGAAAACTTCACAAAGTAAAACTTTATATAATTAACAATTAGGAGAAAGACAGCAGGTCTCTTCCACGCCCCCATGCCACCCAGCAATCCATTTTTCCATTAGCAACCATTAATTATTTGGAAGTTAAAATATAATGTGTGGAGGAGGGGTGAAGTAGGACATTTAATGAAATCCCTGCAGTTGGAAGAAAATAGAACTTCTTTCCAAAGGTTCATTTTTCTAACATATAGACACATTTTCCCATAAGAAACTCCCAGAAAAATTGAAACCACATGTGCAGATAGCCAGGGCATGCTGTGCATGTTGCTGTGCAAGCAATTCAGCAGGGCTTCTGCAAAACCAGCTTTCTCAGCTCTTGGGTTCTGGGGCTTGTCTCAACAACAAGAAGCCCCAAATAACAAACGGATCCCAGCAGGGTGAACAACACTGCAGCAGGGGAGCTGTTTCCTTCACTCCTACCCTGTTCCCTTTGCTCTCCAAAAGTTACAAACTGTGAGTTTCCTTCCTGATAAACCTCAAGGCTTCCACACTGATTGGTCTCAGTTTTGGAAAGGACGTGACATCAGCAACTGTGCAGACTTGGGGCTGGAGGGCTGTTGTGGGGCTTTGGCCAGCCTCCAGCCAGCTAGGTGGAGCATGCGTGTGTGTGTGTGTGTGCGTGTGTGCGCGCCTGTCTGTGTGTGTGCTTGTCTGTCTGACCACAGGTAGTACTCAGATTACCCTGCCTGTTCTGTTCTCTGCTGCAGACGGCTGTTCTCCACCGTCTGACCAGGACGGTGCAGCTCAGCCAGCCACAGCCCTGGAATTTCCCAAGAGCGGGGAGAGCATGGAATTTGGACTTTTCTGAGCAACTGAAGTGGAGCGTGGAGCTTGCCCAGCCCAGGAGAGCACCATGGATGTCGAACCACGGGGCAGGAATGGCAGCAAGCCCCTGAGGCCAGGAGACCCTCCTGACACCAGGCTCCTTTCAAACCCATTGATGGGGGGTGAGTCAAGGGGATGTGGCGTCAGAGTGCTGGGGAGGTTGGTTAATGTGCTTAGGAGAGAAGAGAGAAGAGGGCTGGGCAATTTCAGTGGCTTCATGAGGTGTGTCCATGGGGCAGTTACTGGACAGATGTCCACGGCCTACTGGTATATTTCCTTTACACGGTTGTTCAAAAGTGTGTACACCTCTATCTGCAGAGTCCTATAGACCATACAAAGTCAATTATTGCTGGTTATTCTCCAGTAAAAACTTCAGCTTTCAGCTCCAAAGAATTATTCTTTGTGGATCAAATGTATCACTTACATTACATTGGAGGTTTAAGGGTTACTTATAAATAGGAATGTTTTTACTGCTAAAACATTCATCAAAAGGTCTTACGTATTTGGCATTTAGGTGGGGCTGGGTTAATAAATGATGTTCAAACATTGAGCGCTGATTGATTCAGTTTAAAAGGAGTCTTTTTTTTTTTTTAAACTTTGGGGACGTGTCTTACCAGTATGAGTCTCACCTGTCAGGTGGTGCCTTTGCTAATGTAGAGAGTCTCATGCCTCTGGGCAACTGTCATTTCCTGTGAGTATTCAGCAGGTGCCTGCTAACTGAAAGGATTCTGAAAAATGGGTATAGGCATTAGAGGAGAGATTATTATATTTAGCACCCAGGTAGGCTGCCTGTACCACTTGTCAATCAAAGGGTCAATAAGCAGGGACCCTGCAGTCAGCTAGACTTATTAATTTCCTACTGTACAGGTGCTGAAAGGGTAAAAAAACAGAAGAAATTAAAATACAAAATGCCTTCCCTCTGACTAATTGAGCACACAAGACTGCTCATTCTTTCGTTTCTCCGATTTTGCTGATGAAATGAGCAGGGCACTCAACAGTGAGTGGGATATGGATCCACAAAGGCAGGACTGGATTGATCAGACCTATTGAGCACAAACTTGGAGCAGTAGAAAGCAGAGTGGGTGGCACCAAAAATCACCTTTAAAAATTAATTTGATAAATACATTTTTGAAGCTGAAAACCAATCAATATGGGGAAGAATCAGTAATTTGGTTGACTCCCTCATGATTACTGTACAGATAAGTATTATGTTTGTTTTTATTTCCACGTGAGAAAATTGTGCCAGCCACTTTTCACTGTTGAGAGTTTCTAAAGGTCCTAATCCAGCCCTGGTTGGGGCAGAATGGGTGTGTGTGTGGGGCGTGGTGAGCAGGCATATATACACTCAAAGGTATGGTGCTTAGAAACTGAACACACTGTCACAGCTAGAATGTGGAGTGTCTTAGGAAGTCTAGTGAGAACGAGTTTGGAGAGATGGAACCTGATAATGAAGCTTCAAAAGCTAGGTGGAGTTTAGCCTTCATAAGGCAAGGAATTGGGAGCCATTGATGGTTCTGGAGCAGAGACCTGGCAATAATGAATACTGTAAGTAAATTAATCTGGTAGCCATAGTCAGGATGGATTGTGGTGGGATCACGGGAAATTCTCACACTAATCCATTGATTCTCAAACTTGTATATGCATTAGCATCACCTGGAGGGCTTGTTAAAATGCAAATAGTTGGGCCCCACCTCCAGAGTCTCTGATGCAGTAGTAGGTTGGGGTGAGGCCTGGGAATCTGAATTTACAACAAGCTCCCAGGTGATGCTGATGGTGCTGGTTGGGGACCACACTTTGAGAGCCACTGCACTAATCCCAAGCATGAAGCTTATATTTGGATTGAACTTGGAAATGACAGAGAAAGGGGAAATATGAGTGAGAATTTCAAAGGAAAGAGAACTCAGGCCATGTTGCTTGATTAAATGTTGGGGCTAGTGGAGAGAAGGCAGCCAAAATTGTAAAGTTTTCGATCCTAAATTAACGTCAGATAAGAGGGCTAGGAAAGAGAGTAGTTGGGAAGGGAGCTGGCTTGGGAGCAGAGTGAGGAAGGGAGGACAAAGACTTCTATTTTGATCATAAAAGTGCCGATGCCAAATGCACAGCATGAGGACATGGGACTGAGGCTGGGGAATGACTACAGGACAGGAATCAGAGACCGTAGAATGTTCTGCAGAGGGGCTGTGCTGAAATCCTGGGAAACGAGAAACTGTCTGATGGCCGAGAGCTAAGAGCCGAGGATGGAGCCCTGGGACAGGCCTCCAGTCGAGGCCATAGGACCAGTGAGTTGGACAGAGAAGCAGGAAGAGACTTGAATGCTGTAATTCCACAGGGACTCAGGGGAGAAAAGTTTTCAAAGAAGTGGAAGTTGCAAAGGTAGATGCCAGGACTCTGCTCTCCTACCTCCTCCTTCTCCTCTTCTGACTGGTGAACTCCTACTCACGTTCTGCACCCAGCCGAACCACTGCCCCCACAAAGTCCTCCCAGATTTTCTCCCTCTCCCTACCCAAGCGGCGTCTTTCTCTCCCTGCTTGGCATCAGTCCTGCTCCTTGGGCAGAACCTCGATTGTAGCTGGATTGCATTTGTTTATGCTCTTGAAGTCTTGACCTTGGTGAAGTGCGGAATGTGAAACACTCAGAATGCTGTTTCCAAATGACCATGCGGAGAAACTTAGCTCAGGTGAAGCGTATCCCCTGGCCCAGGACCAGGACAGAGGGAAAATAGGGCCCAGGTATGGCTCGTCTTGGGGAACGTGGCTGCCCCCACCTCCACTTGCAGGCTTTTCTCTCTCTCCTTCTCTGGAGGAAGAGAGGAAAGGACATGAAGATGGCAGCCAACTCTTTATAAAGATTTGTTTAATGCCTGACTCCTCTGCCCCAGGAGCAGGAAAACAATGTCTTTTTTTTCTGAAAATACCTTGTTATGGGTTGAGTTGTGTTCCCCCAAAAGATATGTTGAAGCCCTAACCCCCAATACCTCAGAATGTGACCTTGCTTGGAAAGAGGATCGTTGCAGATGTAATTAGTTACGATGCGATCAGGGTGGGCCCTAATCCAATGACTGGTGTCCTTGTAAGACGAGGAGAGGAGACAGGGAGAATGCCATGTGATGACAGAGGCAGAGATTGGAGTGATGCATGTAATAAGCCAAGAAACAGCAAAATCGATGCCACCACCAGAAGCTGGAAGAGGCAAGGAAGGATTCTTCCCCAGAGCCTTTGGAGAGAGTGCGGCCCCAACACCTTCGTTTCAGACTTGTGGCCTTCAGAACGATGAGACAGTGAGTTTCTGTTGTTTTAAGCCACCCAGTTTGTGTACTTTGTTATGGCGCCCCTAGGAAACGAATTCAAATCTACTTATAGAAACCGTGGGAAATACATTGAAGGATAAACTAAACCACCCACAATCTTACTGAGCAGGTAACCACCATTCGCATTTTTAGTGTCTATCCTTCAGGTTTTTGCCTGCGGATTCACACCTGTAGAGAGATATCCTTCATCACAAAATTAAGCGCACCCTGTAGAGAATATTCACGTTTAAACAGAAGACAGGCAAGAACAGGTGTGGAAAGGAAATAATTTCATTCTCTTATGGTGGATTTTTAGATATTGGGGCGCTTTGGCAGGGCTGAATTTTCTGGGGGAAACCTGTCTGATCAGATGGAATGGGGATGGTGTGAGGTCCCTATGGAGAAGGCAGCCCAAGACAGAGAGAGACAGAGAGAGAAGAGGCTGGCTGATGGAACTAGAGAACAGATTGCAGTGGACAGGACCGACTTGCCCAAGAGTTGCCTCAGTGAGCCTTTCTATTTCCCTGTTTCTGACTGCAAGCCTCTGTTTCTCTTCCTCCTTTTTTTTGTTTGTCCTGCAATTCAACCAAGATCCACTATAGTTGTAAACACAGCACCCAGATCCTCTTCAGTGTTGGTGCGCACCACTGAACCTACCCTATCATGTCCCAAAGACTGGAGACAAGTGCTCCTGCCCTCTCAGAGCGACTCGACCTCTCCTTTTCCCTCCCTTGACCTTGCAAAATGTTTTCCAGGATGGATAGATCTATGCTACTGCTCAGCATTCACTGGAGGCTCTCAGAGCTTCGTTAATAGCTCTTTTCAGAATGGACCAATTAGTGCATTTAAAATATCTTCTGAAATAATGGAAATTTTAAAAATCATTCCAGAAATTGCAATAAAAATGAAATGGCAGCCTTCCTAATGTACTGCAGCGTTTCACAGAGACTCAATTTAAAAGAAAGGTAAGTTTAATGGCACTAATTGGAGAACTTGTGGAGCAGTTTCATTAGAAGAGCTCCCTGCCCCATTTTAACCATGAGCTACACTACTGTATCTGTGGCATTGCTGGTGACTCCATTTGGGATGTATTTTTTGGCAGTAAAACCAATAGAGCCTGGCTGAACAAATGTTGGGGAAGAATCCTTAATGTATACCAAGGGCTTGGATGATGTGTTGTATACAGATAATGGCCCTTGAGTTTCAAAGACTTTTTGGGGTCACTGGAAAAGGAGATTGTGACCTTGAGTCTCCCCTTCATCCACAGTCTTCTACTGTGAGCATTTCCATGTTATGGAAGGAATAGTTCCCGTTTCCTGCTTATTTGGCTGTCTCTAGTTAGCAGGAAGGCAGGCAAAGCTGCTTCTGGGTTTAATTGCACATGTGTTGAGCCTGTAGCTTATTGCCTGCTTGGAGTGTGGGCTCTGGAAAACCCTGGAGAAACATCTCCCTGATCCTCCCAGGAGGGATCACTCGAGGTGCACTTTTCAGCTCTCTCTTCAGTGTTTTCAAGAGCTAAAGAGTGTGTGTGAACTAATCCATGTTGCAAATTATGGTGTTTGCTAAACTGTGTGTGTGTGTATATCTCCATGCTATCAGTGCTAGAAAAATATGAACCTACCTGTTGTCACAATTTTAAGTTTTTACATAATCGCTCAATTGTTCAGAGGCATGCTGAGGCTAAAGTCCTTGTATCAATTTGAGATGAATTTTGGCTTTACAAGAACCCAAGTTTTTCTTCTAAGCAGGAGTAGGGGCACTCTGATAGGCTTGCCAAACCCTAGTCTGAAATGACTTTAAATGAAAAAGGGAAGCATCATGCACTGCTGATGGGAATATAAAGTAGTATAGCGGCTTTGGAAACTAGTCTGGCAGTTCCACAAAAGGCTGAACATTGGGTTCCCATATCATACAGCAATTCCACTCCTAGGTGTACATCCAAGAGAATTGAAAACATACATCCTCTCAAAAATTTGTACGTGGATGTTTGTAGCAGCATTATTAATATTAACCAAGAAGTGCTAACAACACAAATGTCCATCAACCGATGAATGAATAAATAAAATGCAGTCTATCTATACGTTGGATATTATTTGGCTATAAAAAGGGATGAAATACTGATACATACTATAAGGTGGATGAACCTTCAAACATGATGCTCAGTGAAAGAAACCAGTCACAAAGGACCACATATCGTATGATTCCATTTATATGAAATGTCCAGAATAGGCAAATCCATAGAAACATAAAGTAGATCAATGGTTGCCAGGGACAGGGGGAAGTGGAAATGGGGAGTGGCTGCTAATGGACAAGGGGTTTCTTTTTGGGATGATGAAAATGTTCTAAAATTGATTGTGGTGATGGTCGCACAACTCTTTGAATTTACTGAAAACCATTGAATTGGAGGCCGGCCCCATGGCCGAGTGGTTAAGTTTGTGCACTCTGCTTCAGCAGCCCAGGGTTTCTCTGGTTCGGATTCTGGGCGCGGACATGGCACTGCTCATTAGGCCATGCTGAGGTGGCATCCCACGCTACGACTAGAAGGACCCACAACTAAAATATACAAATATGTACTGAGGGGATGTGTGGAGAAAAAGCAGAAAAAAAAAAAGATTGGCAACAGTTGTTAGCTCAGGTGCCAATCCTAAAAAAAATAAAACCATTGACTTGTACACTTTAAATGAGTGAATTGTATAGTATGTGAATTATAACTCAATAAAGCTGTTAGAAAGACAGATAAAGATTGTCAGCGCCCAATACCTATGTACCAGGACAACACCCTGTGTTTCTCAAAGACACAGGCAGTCTCTGCACTGTAAATACATTCTAAAGCAGGGGTACCAAACCTCAGGTAGCATTTTTTTCCTCTTTGAGAAGTACATAATTCTTTATTTATCCTAAATAGAAGGAGTGACGGTTCCATGATGAATGAATATAAAGTAAAGCCCATTTTTGTCTATACTTGAGAATATAATTGTATTGTTTTTATGAAATCTGAACAGAGTTACAATTTAGGACACCAATTACCTGCCTGGACTGTTTAGGCTGTCAACTCGAATTATCTGAGGTAGCTTTAAGAAAGGCAGCTATATTTTTTAGCAGCTGAGCACTTGGAAGGAAAAATGGATTAATCATTCACACACATGGTGATCCATTAGGGTACATTTGCAAATCTATTTAAAACTGATTTTTAAAACCTTTCTCAATTTTTGGCTCTTTCTTCTCACTCAAGATTTTGTGTGGATGGTATCTTGCATTAGCAGCAACAGGATAGAATTAGTCGTCCTTTTAATTCTAATTGGGAGAGAAATCTTTCTATATCTACAGTCTGGATTGTAGGCTCCAAGCCCTAGAAGCAGCAATATTTTTCCTGAGAGAATTAGCAACCTCAGAGAATGCTATGAGGATGCTAGGTTCCTACTGAGCTTAAGGTTTTGGAGGTAGGAAAAGCCATTTTGCTTAATGTGCCTCAAGCACCTTAGTGACCCCAGAAGGAAAGCATTGGATGGGCAGTGTGTAAGGAAAGCATTGGATGGGCAGTGTGTAGGCAGGCTCATTCAACTTCCTTTTACCTATTAAATGCTTCATGATTCCATCTGGAAGGATGGTAATTTGCTCACTGGGAAAGATTTTCCAGGGCATTGATAGCTCCAGGTAGCAGGCAGACCTCAGCCAGCATGTGTTAAGTACAAAGGTTTCCAGCCTCCTCCTTTCTGGCCTTTCGGTTTGCAAGTCATTAGTAACCACCCTGGTTCTCCAGGTCTTCTCAGCTCTTAGGAGATACCAGTCCCTTTACAAGGCGTGACTGGTATCAGACCATTCTGCCTTGTTTGTATGTGGCGTGTTTACTCAGGCAGGCATAGGTGGAGCTGAAGCAAGCTCAGACGAGCCTCCTCACACTCTGACTTCCTGCCTTTGTTTGTTCTGGAAATCAAACGCAGCTTGAGATGAGAAAAATTCAGGTCTATGCCTCATTCAGGTTACATCCACACTCAATTGGAAAGAGAGAGAAAAACATTTAATGTTTTGGGATAGGGTTTACAGGCCTCCTTTCTAAGAATGTGTATTCTTTCCATATGGTTGTAGAATAAATTTGCTACTTTAAATAGCAGTAATTACGGGGTGGAATCAAGACTCTCTGCTTAGTGTTAGGACAGGATAATAATAGTAGCTAATAGTATTGAGCCATGGGGAAGTATATTGCTGTCCTTGCTTTACAGAGAAGGAAACTGAAGCTCAGAGCCTGTGCAGGGACCCACAGTTCAGAAGAAGCCAAGTGGGTCTGAATTCAGAGCTTTCTCTTAACCACATTGGCATGCTGCCATTGGAGGTAAATAATGTCCCTGTTGCAAGGTCAGACTGGATTCTGATTTGTGCTTGATATTGGGACAAGAGGTAATCCATAAATAGATATGGTTCTGTTTAGATTTTATTCCAGACCTAATGGTGTATGTAATTACGGGATTACTACTATTAGTATACGGCACTGTTTGCTGAGATGCCAAAGTTTGTATTTCATGCAGGCAAGTAGATTGGCAACCACAGCTTAACACACTAATGCTGGTGATTAGTGAAGCTCTCACTTAACTAAATAGACTGTTTGCCTTTGAAACCAGTGTGGAAGCAGAAGTACAGTACTTTGTCATTCCAGTCCACCTCTTTTGTCCTCAGTTTGGACGTTGACTGTAGTTCTTTCTTTAGCTATCTAGACATTTCAAATAATCTATGTACAAGAAACCTCAATAGAGAGGAGAAATGCAGAAGTCCTGTTGGGAGTTTTGGTTGATTGACTCCAATGTCTCTGTGCAGTAAGACCCATTAGGCTCTTATTGACGGGCAGGGATGAGTTTCCGGGTCTAAAGTGCATTAGTAGGCTGTAACCCATTTCTCCCTTTCCATACAGATGTTGTGTCTGATTGGTCTCCTGTGCATGAAGCTGCGATTCACGGACGTCTGCTCTCTCTGAGGAACCTCATCAGCCAGGTAGTAGCTTTTTGGAAAAAAAGAGGCCGGACCAGTGGTGTAGTGGTTAAGTTCACACGCTCCACTTCAGTGGCCCGGAGTTCACGGTCCCGGACCCTGGGCCTGGACCTGTGCACTGCTCATCAAGCCACACTGTGGCAGCATCCCATATACAAAATAGAGGAAGGATGGGCACAGGTCTTAGCTCAGGGCTAATCTTCCTGAGCAAAAAGAGGAAGATTGGCAACAGATGTTAGGTCTGGGCCAATCTTTGTCACCAAAAAAAAAAAAGTAAAAATAAAAGATAAATATTAAGCATATCCAATTGCTCATTACACTGGAAAAAAAATCATAGTCTAATATTAAGATATAAATTTCTTCTTCAGCAAAATGGGGTGAATCTCATCCTATGTAACTATTCCTTTATTTGGAAGCTGGCATAACACTAGAGGTTAGTATAATTCTATGCACATAGTAGGTACTACAATAAATATCTCTGGAGTGAATAATGAGCAAATTAGTACATTCAAGTTGCCTTCATTTTATTCAATAGACTATGTTCTTAAAAATTATCATGTAAAACAATGTTTTTCAACTTGGGCAGTTTTACCCCTTAGGGGATGTTTGACAATGTCTGGAGACATTTTTGGTTGTCACAACTGGGAGCAGGAGTGGGGGTGGGTGGGTGGTGGCGATACTGGCATCTAGTAGATAGAGAGCAAGGATGTTACTAAACATCCTACATTACACAGGACAGCTCTCCATATTAAAAAATTATCCATCCCAAAATGTCAGTAGTGCTGAGGCTGAAAACCGCTGATGTAAAATAAATGCTTGAAAATGTCTTTTTTAACATGTAATCTTATAATTTCAAAGACGTTTTCAGTTCTTTTGAATCTCTAGTTGATAGTGGCTCTGCCCAGCTTGATATTAGTTGCTCTGCTCCTCAGGTATAATTTCAAGTACACATTAATTTGAGTTTTGCCAGTTTGAAATTATTGGGAACTTAAGCAAAGGCACTTTTGAGAAAGCAGTTTAAATCACCATTCAAAATTCTAATAAAGTTTTTGTCCAAAATATTCTGTTCTCTGAAAAGACTATAGATCTTTTAAGTTAGGAGCTCTTGGCCCTTTCTGTACCATGGAGCCCTTTGGCAATCTGGCAAAGTCTGTGGACCCCTTCTCAGACCAATGTTTTAAATGCATAAAACACAAAATAGAGGAAACCTATCAAAATATTAAAACACAAATGTGTGACATAGTAATATATGGACTTCTTTATTCATGCATTAAATAAGAATATTTAGTGGTGATTCTAATGACTACCATGATTTCTGAGTAGGATGGACATATACTTTGAGATTTTTTAGATATCTGCTACCATTTTAATGCAATAAAAAATATCTGTGATTCCTCTCCATGATAGTCCTATATACTGCTATTACTACTGTGGTTTGTTGTTTACAACATAATTGAAGGACATGATACATTTCAGGTGGTGGATAGTGAAAGTGAAAGTGTTTTTTAAAAAAATTCCAATTCCATGGATCTATCTAGACTAAGAAATCTTCCTATAAGAAAACAATTTCTAAAGAAAAATTTCAGACTTCCCTAAGCCACTACCTTAAGCTGTTTTTGGGTAGCAGCAGCCTATTATAAATAGAAATATAGATAGCAACAGATAACTCTAGCTAAAAGAAATTAAGCTGCTTCTCAGATAAAATGAAATAGTTACCTTATTTTGATAGGATGAAAAATGATCATTGCAGTTTTTATATATGACTTATTAAATTAGACTGATATTCATTTATATTCGGTATTTATATGTTTACTCAACAGAAACCATGTCTTTATCTAAGCTCTATCACATTATTTGAGCAAGTCATTTTCTTGGGACCTCAATTTCTGCCTTCATAAAATGAGCATTCCAGTAACCTGCTTGTATTAGTCAGATCTTGCTGTGTAATAAACCAGCCCAAACTCAATGGCATAGTACAATAAACATTCATTTCTTGCTAATGAGCCTTTGGGTCAACTGATCTAGGCTGGGCTTAGCTCCAAGCTGTGGGTTGGGTGCAGCTCTGCTGCACGTCTCCCATTCTTATTTGACCAGTGGCTGCCTGAGGAATTTTCTTCTCATGGCGAAAAGCGGGGCAAGCCCAACTTGCAAGAGTATTTCCAATCAGCTTATGTCACACATGCTAACGTGCCATTGGTCAAAGCAAGTCAGATGCCCAAGTCCAAAGTCAAGGATCAAAGAAGCACATTTTGTCAACTATGACGTCATGGCAAAGGTGTGAATGTATTACACTGCAATAGGAAAGTAAAGAATTGACACCAAACATTCAATCTATTATATTTCCTTTTATGGATTTGAGAGAATTAACTGAGGTGACATTATGTAAATTACCTATTCTAGTTACTGTCCTCACAAATGGCATCTATTTTCTTATCACAATCTACATAGCACTTCAGATAATCAAAGAATACTGAAAAACATTGTTGCTAAACTAAACAAACATATTTTAGTAAGGGGAATAAGACCAAACATTCAAGAAAAAAATTATAAAAAATAATTCTCATTTGGTCCAAGAAGGGAGAAACTGAATCTGTAACTAATTATTCTTTACCATGGCTTCACAGTAAAATAATCTGGGATATTTTTTAAAAATAACAATGCATGGGCCTCCCTCCGGATGTTCTGATTTAGCCTAGGGCAGGCTTCATGCATTCGAATTTTTTTAAAGCTCTTGTAGAACCACTATGTTGAGGGATTTTAAAAAGGCTCTTTTGACAGTGGAGAAGAGAGAGGGAAAGGCATTTGAAATGAAAGAAATGGTATAGGGAAAGGAACAAAAAGACTGATAAATTGGATTTCAATAAAATTAAGAACATCTTCATCAAAACGCATTATTTTAAAGGTGAAGAGGCAAGCCACAGATGAGAAAATATTTGCAGTATATGTATCTGACAAAGAACTCATATTCCTAGTCTAAAATCAATACGAAAAAGACAGACAACCCAACAGAAAAATGAGCAAGAGGCTTGGCCTGGAACTTCATAAAATATGGTCTCCAAATGTTTGGTGAATGTGTCAAACTGTGTTTATTAGTAATTGAGGTAATTCAAATTACAAATAAGAGATTATGTCACCAGTTCCTCCCACGAGAAGGGTTAAATTTGAAAAGATAGATAATATCAAGTGTTGGCAAAAATGCAGAGCAAATGGAACTCTCATACATTGTTAGTGGGAGTACAAATTTCTACAACCCACTTTAGGAAATTGTTAAGGAATATCTACTAAAGCTAAAAATATCCCTACCCTACAACCCAGCAATTCCATTTCTATGTTTATATGCAATAGATAGGTATACATGTGTTTGTCAAAAGACACATACAGGTATATTCATAGCAGCCTTATTCATAACAGCAAAAAAAACCCAAACCCTTGAAAGCAATGTAAATGTCCATCAAAAGTAAGATGGATAGATATATTTTGATATATTACTCAATGGAACTCTATGCAGCAATGAAAATGGATGAATGAATGAGTCTGAAAAACATAATGTTGAATGAAAGTAGCCAAGCACACACACAAAATACAAACTTCATAGTTCAATTAATATAATGTTCAAACCAGGGAAAACTAATCTATGGTGTTAGAAGTCAGTATCGGGGATGCCTTTGTGGATGAGAGGTGGGTAGTAATTTGGGTAGGACATATGCGAGCTTCTGGCAATTTTTTTTTCTTGACCTATATAGTGGTAACAGATGTATTTTTTTTGTCATAATTCACTGAGGTTTACACTTAGAATTTATGAACTTTTCCTTATATCTGTTGCAGTTCAATAATAATTTATTTAAAAAAAACAATAGCAGTTTGTTAGGTCAGCATAAAGCAATTAAGGTACCACTTGACCATAGTGTGACCTTGATTTAGTGGCTCTCAATCTAGACTGTACATTAGCATCCCCTTTGGCTGGGGTCGGGGGGGTTCTTGAAAATACTGATGCCTGAACTGAACCACTTTTGATTGTGTTGTAATTGCTGTGGGATGCAGCCTGGGTATCAGAACTTTTTTTTTAACTCCCCAGGTGATTCCAGTGCACAGCCAAGCCTGAGAACCTTCCCAATAAGGTCTCACTGCGTGCAAGTGGTGAGGACTCTTTTCAGCTCCTTGAATAAAACTCCTTATCCTGTCCCCTGCAGTCCTTAAAGAGCTAAGTCACTATCAGGGCTGAAACTAGGAAAGATCTTGGCATTCTGAAACTTCAGCTTTTTAGGATGTGACAGCTAATTGAAGGCTGAGTGATAAAGACTAGGATGAAATCTCAGATAATAACTGCCTAGAAGTTACTGAGGGCTAAGCATTTTGCATACATCAGTTTTCAGTCCTCATGACAGCTTTGTAGGGTAGGTACAATTGTCCCCATTTTACAGATGAGGAAACTGAGGCTTAGGGAGATAAATCACTGGCCCAAGGTCACACTGCTTGTTAAGTGATGGTGCCAGCATTTGAACTTGGGAATCACTCTACTAACCTCTCTCTGAGGTCTCAGTCCTAGGTAGGAAACAAGATAGTGGTGCCATTCAGAGAATTAGGGCTGGCAAGACAGGGAGCTCTTTTCAGGGAGAGTTTGGTTGGCAGAGGCTGAATTTATGTTGTTAGCTGGTCTCTAGGTGGTTCTGTTTTAGCAGGGAATTAGAAACATGTACCAGGGGTGGAGCTTTAGATTTGAAAGTAACTTCAAACACACACACACACACACACACACACACACACAGTATGTAGAGAGGATTGAGAGAAAAGAAAAGGATTTGAGGGCAAATGCTTGAGGAAATGCCTGCATTGGGAGATGTAAGGAGGAAAAGGACAGAGTCTGTGAAAGAGACAAACAAAAGTCAATCAGAGGTAGGAGATAATTCCAAGTAGAGCTCTGTTTGAGAAGCCAGAGGTGAGGTTTCATGAGGTCAGGATGAATATGTAGCAAATTCAGAAGTGGAAGGAGGTGGAGGACAGAGCAATGTATATTAGATTCGATAAGGAGGAAGTCCCTGGTGGTCTTTAAAAGCAGTTTCAGCAGGATTGTGTTGGTGGAAGAGGAAAGAAGGGGTAAAAGTAGAGACAATGGGGATCAACTATTTTTGCAAAAAAGGGGGGCAGCAGTGAAGGGAAGAGGGCATTGGATGGTAGCTTGGCAGAGGGTCAGGATTGAGGGATGGAAAGACTTTGAAAGGAAAAGGAAAGTGTACCTGTAGAGGGACGGCTAGGGGTCGCATGTGAAAACCCGGATGAAGGAAAGTCACGGGGGTGGCAGAGGGACATGGTGAGGCCATGGGCTGTTGGGCTGAGCTCATATATTTCTTCCTCAAAGAAAGGAGCAGTGGAAGAAAAGAAGACTGGAGAAATGCAGAGAGATTTTAGGAGTGGGGAGAAGGAATGTAGGAAGCTCACGTCAAATGGCTTTGATCTCCTTGGTAAAGTAAGAAGGGAATGATGTGTTGTGATGAATGTGAGATGGGCGTTCATGGTCTTCCTTTCTGCTGAGTGTAGATAAGGAAGTGGTAACTGTGGACAGGACAAAGGAAAAAGCCTAACCTTCTTGTACTCAGTTGGTATAGCCTGGGTGGGCATTTGATTTTGGGCTGGGACAGAAAGTTGTCAGGTATTGAGCGCTCTGTCACCCACGAGTGCCCTGATATTGCGCAGCTCCAAGAACCCACCAAAAAAAGCTTCTGACTGTAGCTTGAGATTAGGGAACAATTGATAATAGAAAAATTAAGGATAAACCATTCAGTCCAATTTTTTTTTTTTACTGAGAACCCACTGTAGACTGGATCCTCTGTGAAGTAATGGGTTGAAAATTACCTTACAATAGTATGTAATTTAGACAAATAATTCAGACAAATCACCACAGTTCATTTAAAGTAGAACTGTGGCTCGATGATGAATTGAAAATACAGTCCTAAGTTTGCAAAGGGAATCTGAATTTAAAGGAGTTTCTTTGTAATGTGATTATGTAATGCGTCGTGAAAACTTTTTGTGTTGTGAATAATTTCTTTTGTGCATCTTCACTTACCTGGATTTATGTATAAACACCTAAACGATGGTTTAGAAATGGCAGTCGTTGCTTGAGGAGTACATTTATAATAACAGAATACCTAGTAAATAATTCCTTTAAAGGACAGTCTTCTTTTACCTCATGATCTGTCGCACAAAGAAAAGTGCAGTTAACATTTTGCTGTGAATTCTTGTGTATTCTAGCAGTGTGAGTGGGAGAGATTGGATAAATATAGAGCGTTGAGAGGGAAAAGAAGGGTTTGAGAACAAATCTTTGAGGGGATGCCTCCAGTAAAATAATAATGACAATAGTAAAATAAATAGCAGGTGCCACACTGTAAAGTTCATGGGCAGTACTTGTGAAGGTATAAGCTTGTATAAATGCAATAACTCAAATTCTTCTGAAGTCAGGGGTCAGTAAGCATTTATTGAGCATTCATTGGGTACAGATGGGATTTGAGCTTATGAAGGAAGGGAGGATACGGTCCCTTCCCTCCCTGTGAACAGCACAGCTGAGATGGAAAAATACTGTAAATGATATTGGAATTTCTCATTTACAATCAGGTTATTTTGAGTCTCCCAGAACCCCTTCCCAGCGCCCCTCCCAAGGCTCTGGATTTGAGATCCTGTAGACTGAGGTGCTTGCCCAGAATGACTGAATATCTCAAAATGTGTGAGCTTACCAATCAGAGGGTAAAAGCCAAGAGGACAGGATGATTAGGGGCTGACTTGTGAATGCCCACAAAAGTAGAAGGATGTGTATTAGGAATGATGTGACTGAGGCAATTTATTAGAATGATTTTAGGCAAATTTTACCTATTCTGAGAAGAAAAGGTACAATATATTACCTAGTCATTAATTAAACTAACCATGCTTTTAATTGACGTGCCCCAACAAAAAGAACTTTTATTGCACCCAGTTTCCCCTGTTAGGAATAATGTGGATCAGGGGGTCAGTGTCTGTGGAGCGTCTCCTGGAGTTCTTTTGATGTTCTGCTCGGCTTGGGCTCATGATCCATCTCCTGGAGAGCACATTTTCCCAGAGGTTGATAAACCCCAAGGCCTTTCAGATGCTTTTTTGCTCTTTAGACCTAGAACACCTAGAATGAGAATGTAATTGCCCCTCTGCCTTGGGACTTTCTGCCTCTTTGTGGAGGATCCCCTAATGCTTTGGCCCCATATTAATCATCTCTTGCTGTGTAACAAATTATCCCCAAACTTAGCAGCTTAATGTAACAAATATGTGTTGGCTCACAGTGTCTGTGGGTCAAGAATTTAGACACAATTTAACTGGATCAGAGACTCTTATGAATCTGCAATCAACGTGCGGGCTGGAGCTGCAGGCATTTTAAGACTTGGCTAAGGGTTGACCTGAGTCCAAACTCACATTGCTGTTGGCAAGATTCAGTTCCTCCTGGGTTGTTGGACTGAGGGCCTAAGTTCCTGGCTAGCTGTCGGCTAGACTAGCCAGGACTGGTAGATTGCCCTCAGTTCCTTATCATGGACCTTGTCAGAACAAGTAAGCCAGCAAGTGAGAGGACAAGAGATTGAGAGCAAGATGAAAGTCAGTCTTGAGTGTATATACCTAAGAGTCAAATTGCTGGCTTGTAGGTGTGTATATCATCAGCTCTAATAGATACTGACAAACTGTATTCCTGAATGGTTGTTTCATGTTACATTCCCACCAGCAGTATGAAAGTTCCTTATTTTTGTTTTCTTACATCATTGTCAACACCTTAGTGTACTGTCACATTTTGAGCCAGGTTAAGTTTTTTGATGTTGTTGTTGAGGAAGATTAGCCCTGAGCTAACATCTGTTGCCAATCGTCCTCTTTTTTCGCTTGAGGAAGATTGTTCCTGAGCTAACATCCATGCCAGTCTTCCTCTATTTTATATGTGGGTTGCTGCCACAGCATGGCTGATGAGTTGTGTAGGTACATGCCTGGGATCCGAACCAGTGAACCCTGGCTGCCAAAGCGGAGCACACCAAATTTAACCACTATGCCACGGGGCTGGCCCCCAGGTTAACTTTTAAAAGAATTGTCACAGTACTGGATTTGTGACTGAAAACTAATCCTACAAAACTGTTGATTTTCACTCTTTGCCCATTTCCCCTCCTCCAGGGGTGGCCTGTGAACCTCATCACGGTAGATCAAGTGTCCCCACTCCATGAAGCCTGTCTCGGAGGTCATCTCTCTTGTGCAAACATTTTATTAAAGCATGGAGCTGAGGTAAGTGCAGCTCAAATAACAGCTTAGAAACCATGAATGAAAAAATGACTATTTCTATCTCTTTTGAATAATTTCCAGTATTTTTGATTAACCTTATTTGAAATATGAAGAGAGGTGTTTTTCGAAAGTATTATGTCTATCAAGCTTATTTACTTTAGCAATAGATGAAATAATGAATTTTTAGCCAGAAAGTAATGGTTCAAGTCTATATCATTTTATTTAACAGCCACTACTAATAAATAGCTGTTAGATTTAAGCCTTCATTCTTATGGCTGGAAGGTAGTGAAATAGTATAGAAAACACATAACATTTGGCTCCATAAGGCTGGAATAATGGTCCCAGACCATGTTTACCATTTACTAACATTGGAAACTTGGACAAGTTACTTAGCCTCTGAGCTTTAGAGTCTATATCTAAAAAAGGGGGGAAAATAAAAAAGTTGTATAGCTTATTGTGGTATTGCGAAGATTGAGAGAGATGAGGTATATGATTATTACTTGGAGAATGAGACTCAGGGTGGCAAAATGAGATCCTAGAGGAAGAAGGAAGACACACAAAGTCATTGAATTTGAAAGTAGGGAGCAGTAAGCCTTCCATTAACTAAGTCCCCTCATGCTCAAAAGTTATGGGAAAATCTGATCAGAAAATTATATCTGAGTTTCTCATATTCTCTCAACCAGTATTGACTGAGCATTTATTCTATGCCTCACTCTGGATAAATACATTTAGGAACATTTAAACTAAATGAGGGGACAACCAGAGAGGGGCATTAGTGAACGTAACACTAGCTTCTTCAGTCGATAAACCCTGGAATCTCAGTAGCCTGATATGATGAAAGTTTATTTCTTGCTCAACTAGAACTCCAGTGTTGGTGTTCCTGGTTGGGTGGCTCTTTTCCAAAAGTGATTCAAGAACACAAGCTCCTTCCATTCTGTTACTCCGCCATCTTCCACAAGTGGCCCATGTGTGCTCCAGGGGTCACCTCCATTCCAGGTGGTTGGTTGGGGAAAAGATGTGGAAGATTGTGCATAGAAGACTTTTAAGGACCAGTCCTAGTCCTCGTAGTGACATATATCATTTTTTCCCACATCCCATTGGCCAGAACTCAGGCCACATCTAATTGCTAGGGAGACTGGGAAATGTAGTATGACTCTGTGCCCAAGAGAGAGGAAATAGGTTTGTTGAATGCATAGCATCTTAGCCACAGCAGGCAATTACAATACACTGTTTTTATCCATTAGTTTTTGCTGTGTAACGAACCACCTCAACTTAACGACTTAAAACAATAGCTGTTTGTTTATCTCACAATTCCTTGAGTTGGTTGGACAGCTCTTCTGATCTGGCCTGGTTCAGCTGACCACAGCTGGACTTACTTATGCATTTGAGGTTAGCTGATAGGTCGGCTGGGGCAGGTGGTTCACGATGACCTTGGCTGGGATGGCTGGGAGGTCTTGGGAGACGGAAAGTCTCTATGTGGTCTCTCGTCCTTTATCAGGTTGCCTAGACTTATTCACATGGTAGCAGGGATTCCAAGAGCAGCAAAAGAGGTCAAGCTCTCTGCTTGCATCATATTTGCTACTGTCCCATTGGCCAAAGCAGGTCGCATGAGCAAGCCCAGATTCAAGGACTAGAAAAATAGTCTCCATCTTGTGATGAGAGAAGTTACAAAGCCATATTACAAAGGGATACGCATATTGTGCAGAGAATCTGTGTCCACTTTTGCAAACAACATAATAAGTATTAGTAGTAAGGGGTTGTTGGGAGCACACAGAACTGCTTCTAAGCCATTTATTTCTGATGAGGGGAGAGGAAGTCAAAAGAGGCTTCCCACAGGAAAGGTGTCTAAGCTGAAACCTACAGGATCTGTTGGAGTTCATCAGCTGAATGGTGGGTTGGGAAAATGATGGGCTTCACACCCACTGGGAACAGCAAATGCAAAGACCTGGAAGTAAAAGTGAGTACACTTTCGTGAGTTCAAATCATTCCTTGTGGCAGGAGAGTAGAGTGGGTGAGAGGGGTCAGAACACAAACAACCTTGTTGTCCATGCCAAGAAAATGGGCTTCATCCTGAGAGCAGTAGACAGCCATAGGTTAGCGCATCATCAGGTTTATATTTTGGTTAAGAAAACTTACTCAAAACTTCGGAACAGAGGCAGGACTAAGGAGAGGCAAAAGAGGCACCTCAGGCTCATGCAGCACTTGTGTGACCCTGGGAGTAAGTGTCTCCTTAAAGTTTGCACACTGGGCATCTTTTGTGCCTCACTAGTCCTGGCCTTGCTTGGAAATAGAGTGTGAGAATGACTTCATTGTCTTCACAATATCATTGTTTAGCAAGTTCACCAAAGAATTACTTAACGATATAGAAAAATGCATCTGCATTTGTCTTTGCTCTTTACCATTCTATTATAGTCCAAACACTGTGAAGTTAGATGATAACTTGTAAGTTTCGGGCTGATTTCCAACGTTAGAAAAGATAGCCCCAAAGGTGATAGTTTCATGGCCCTATAGGACATTAACCAATTTTGTATCTATTAGCAAATTTATTCCAGCATTCCACTGACTGACTCTATAAATTCTACTTTGAGCCAGCCTTACCATCTTACTGGTTCCCTCACTAATGAATGAGTTGAATAAAATCTTTGGCATGTGTTCACTTTATATTTGTATGAAAGCCATGTTTTCAAATTTTAAGAAATGATATGTTAACAATCTTAGAAGGTTACTCTGGCTGCTGTGGGGAAACTGGATTGGTGTGAGATGGGTCATGGATAAAATGTTGAAAATAAGGAGATTAGTTTGTAAGCTATTGAAATTATCCTGACTAGTTTCAAAGTTTATGTTCCTGGGGGGAGCGTGGAGGAGATAGAATATTGAGCAACATTCTTGGTGCCTTACATCCGATGCCTCGTTTAGGTTTTCACAACCTGGTAGATTTTGATTTTTTTGGTCCCCATTTTAAAACTGTGGAATTTAAGGCTCAGAGAAGTTAAATAGCAGCTTGAAAGTGGTGAAGTCTAGAGTTGAACCCAGGACACCACTGCCTGCCTTCATCGTGGAGCTTTTCTTTGCAGGTGAACGGAGTCACCACAGACTGGCACACTCCCTTGTTTAATGCTTGTGTTAGCGGCAGCCAGGACTGTGTGAATTTGCTTCTGCAGCATGGAGCCAGCCCCCGCCCTGCAAGTGATCTGGCATCCCCCATCCACGAAGCTGCTAAGAGAGGTAAATCTGTTGAGAATTTAAGCTTTCTACCCACTCCTTCAAGGGACATCTTACTGTTGAAAGAAAGAAGGAAGGAGTATGTTTTAGAGCAGTAGTTCTCAATGTGGGGTCCTGGAACCAGAAACATCAGCATGAGCTGGCATGCAAATGCAGATTCTTAGGCCCCACTCCAGACTCATTGAATCAGCAACTCTGGAGGTGGGGCCCAGCAATCTGTAGCTTGTTGAAGAAGCCTTCCAGGTGATTCTGATGCACAATAAGTTTGAGAACTACCGTTTTATGGCATTTGGAATGTTGTTCACTGCTGTATTTCTGGAACAGGGCCTGGCGTATAGTAGACTATCCATCAATGTTTGTGGAATATATTGTTGAACCCAAGACCCCCATAGAAATCAAGTTATTTCATAAAGCAAATTATATTCTTCTATTTTAGGACCTTAAAGAATATTGTCTTGGGGTCACCTAAGTTTGCTAAGTAAAACAAACTTTCAATTTTTGGAAATACAAGATGTTATATAGAGTTTGGAGTAATTCTTTTTTCCTCTCCAGCTTTATTGAAGTGTAGTTAACAAATGAAATTGTATATATTTAAGGTGTACAATGTGATGATTTGATATACGTATACATTGTGAAATGATTAACATTCATCACCCCACATGGTTACCCTTTATTTTTGTGATGAGAGCACTTAAGATCTCCTCTTTTAGCAAATTTCAAGTATGCAAAACAGTATTGTTAACTGTAGTTACCATGCTGTATGTTAGATCCGCAGAACTCCTTTAGGGTAATTCTTTTTATAAAGCCACAGTTTTCCCGATATTCTTAACCCTGAGACAAGAAATAAAATTGCGAGTTTTGCTTTTCTCCAATGTTCTTCTTCTTCTTCATCATCATCATCATGACCATACCTTGCTAGAGGGCTTTCAGTTTCCCAGTGGCTTTCACAAAACGGTTTCCCATGATCCTTACAGCAGCCTGATTTCACTGGATCAACCCATATTATAATTATCTCCCAAAGCATTGGCATTTATTGATTAAGAGACATGCTAACTTGCCACATTCACTGGAGACATAGAGCCAAAATGTTATAACAAGAGAAACACAAAGAAGCAGCATTTAAATTATGGCATTCTAGACAAAGAAGAGTGATTCAGCTTTCACTGAACCTGGTTTGCCAGACTGCACCCTGCTCATGTTGGATTTGGTAGCTCCTTCTAAGCCTTGCCTGTGCCTACTGTGGCCTGTTTTTCCCAGGGCCTGCCCTTGGTGAGGTTGTAAGTTTCTTCTCTGTCCCATGGCCCACACTGTGCCCTTTCTTCTTCATATCCACCTTCAGTCCCTGTTCCTCCTTACCTCTCCCCAACTCACTTCAATTTCTGTGCTCAGACTGATTACAAAGTCACAAATGATTGAAAAGGGTAGTTGGTTGCTGGTTGCTTACTGTGCCTGGTAAACTCAAGTAGAGTTCCATCCAGAGCTGCGGATCACATCTTATGGTCAACCCCTTAACTGATAGCAGTGTTTAAAATCATCCCCTATTCTAAGTAAAGGAAATAGCTTTTGGTCTCCTGGATAAGTTTCTGGCAAATTTAGACACACAAAAAATGGAGAAGGTGTTGTTTCACTAGCTAAGGGAACCTATGCTGTAACCATGTTCTTCCGTTTCGGGCTGCAGGCCATGTGGAGTGCATCGAGTCCCTCGCAGCTCATGGGGGCGACATTGACCATAACATCAGCCACCTGGGCACTCCACTATATTTGGCTTGTGAAAACCAGCAGATAGCCTGTGCCAAGAAGCTTCTGGAGTCAGGTAAAACAAAAAGCAAAATGAAAAATAAATTAAATATATTTTAAAACTCTTTCTATTGTAGCAGAGGAAAGAATGTGGGCATTGGAGTCAGACAAGATCAGGGTTCATACTGACCGTGTTCCCATGGGGAGTTATTTTAAACTGTTTGAACTTTAGCTATCTTGCTTGTAATGAGGATAATGATGATGATGATGGTAATATCTCCTCCCAGGGTGGTCCTCAACGATTATTACTTTTTCCTCCCTTTCCTCTCCCACCCTTCCTCTGGCCAATCATATTATTAGGCTCTGAATAACTCCCAAAGTTGCTGGGTTAGGACTGAGTCTTCCTATTTGGGGCCCTCTTTACCAGTTCTCTTTGATTTGGAAATTCAACTTGCCCAATTTTAGCCCATTGTAAATATTAGAGTTTCTTTGAAAAGGCCTATGTAGCCTCATTCTTTTTCACCTCCTTGCTGTGTCCAGTCCCTTATTCAACACTTGGAACACCATTTCATCACCTCTTTAATTAGAGTCCTGTTTATTCTTTAAAAATCCAGTCATCTTTCCCTCCCCTGAATGTTCTTCTAGTTCTTATTGCCTTCTACTCATTTGGTAGTCATTGCCATGAATTAGGAGATTTGTATTCTTTCTCTTTCTCTTTCTTTCTCTTTCTCTTCTATCACCCTAGGTAGATGTTAAGCCCCTAGTCAGAAGAGGCCCAGGTTTGGCATCCCTCACAAAGCCAAGAACAATATAAGAACAGTTCAATTAGCACTTGTTGAGTGGACATAGATTCCCATTTTTCTAGAGGGACAGCAGCTCAGGCAAAGCCACACATCCCCACATGTCACAGTGGGAGCCAGCATCCAGGCTGCGGTGGGGATTTGTTGAGAGTATAGGGATGGAATTGGGTGGGGGTGGTGTAGAAATCCACCTTACTCCTGAAGAGGAGGGCCTCACCATCTTCCCTTTGATCTTGGGATTAGCCACCCCAATCTAAGAGATGCCCTCACAAGTTGCTTGCTCTTCACAGTCCAAATCACAGAGTCCCAAGTCCCAGGTTTTAAACTCCATGGCAGTTGCTCCGTGTATGAATGTAGCTGCTTGCTGTAGATGGGATTCCACTGTCTAGCCTCACTTCCTGTCTATACTGGCTGATATTTGGGCTCCATTAATAATGAATATGCAGCTTTCACATCACCAGGATTTTTCTTGTATCTATCACACCTAGGTATAGTGCTCAAGGGTGAGGTTTTAAACCTCATATGCTGTATAGCTCATGTTGTACATTCAGTCGCATTGTCAAATGACATTTGCCCCATATTTTTAAGTGGAATCCAGTCATCTGTTTTCTCAGGAGAATTGCTGTGCGCACTGTAGATTCCCTTTTCTTAGGGAATTTTGAGGTGCAGTGCTTCGAGAAGGGGGCTGCTTGGACTTTGCTCTTTGACTGACTCTCTGTTTGTTTCTCATGACTCTTTAGGAGCAAGTGTGAACCAAGGCCGAGGTCTGGACTCCCCTCTTCACACAGTGGCCAGGGCGTCCAATGGGGAGCTGGCCCGCCTGCTCATGGACTATGGAGCAGACACCCAGGCCAGGAATGCCGAGGGCAAACGTCCTTTAGAGCTGGTGCCTCCAGAGAGCCCTCTGACCCAGCTCTTCTTGCAGAGAGAAGGTGCTTCTCCCTTGCCCGAACCTAAGCCCTAATCCATAGAGACTCCAGCGGGCTCTAGTAGGAGGCAGGTACTTACCAAATTCTGACTTCTGATCCTATAAAAAAGATCATTCTCTGCCATCACTAAATGTGGGGAGTTGAGATGATTTAGTATTCCACAAGGTACAGTACTGGTTATGTAGTAAATAACCATCCTGCTGATTGGCATGTTGGAGACAGGCTGTTTTGGATGATCTAATGTTCATAAAAGGGGGTAGGCCAGTTTTCAAAGAGTTAAGATATTGTTTTAAAATTTTAATGTTAAAGTTATCTAAAACATGCTTTAGAATGATACAGCAGAAGGCTCTTTGGGATTGTCCAATGTCCCAGGATGTCTTCCTGCACTACAGATGGGCCGAACTAAGGGGCATTTGGTTTCTGGGGGTAAAGGTACAACTAATTAAGCGTATAGGTAGGATATTACTTTAATGAATCACAGCAATCTGAAGACATTTACTATTATAAGTTGACCAACACTAAGTCCACATTCCTCCATAAATAAGAACTGACACTCCTGACCCAAATGACCAAGCGCTGTGGTTGAGCAGTGTGCAAGGTGGTAGGGGCACTTCCCTGGGCTGTGAGGTCATGGTTGGGCTGGGGTGGGGAGCAGAGACCCCTCAGATTGCATTCTTAATTGCCCTGAGAGGTAGAGAGCAACCAGCTCAGGACCCAATTTTTTTTTTTTTTGTCAGTGTGTGGACTGTGTTCAGTTTTAGGAGTTGTGGGACTTTGAAGCAGGCTCCCCTACCAGAAGGATTCTGATGTCGTGTAACCTGGTTATTTTCTCCCCACATGCTGAGAATTAGGGCTGGCTCTGGGCAGGATGGTAAAGTAGCCACAGAATTCTTTTTTCCTGCCCCCACTGCCCCAGGGTGCTCGTGGCCAAAGCCCCACCTTGGGGCCTCCAAACAAGGCCTGTACTCCTGGAGTCATGCCAGCCCGGCTGGAGAAGACCCACCCCAGGCACAAGGAACAGTCCAATAGAAACCCCTTTATGTAAAGCAGGGGGATAGTCATCAGGCAACTCTACCTGCGTTTTGATGATTTCTTGTTTTAAAAAAATTCTACTATATATACAAAGCTGATTTCTCCAGCAGGCACAGACAGCACAATGCTTGGGGCACGCAATGTTTTTAGGGGCCCACAGACATGTTTTAATTTCTTTTAAAATCAGAGCGAAAAAATGAATAAAACTCAACCTGGATTATGTTTATCTTTACATTAACACAGTTGTAAAATATCATGTTTCTTTTATTGAGAAAGAAATCCGCAAAGGCAAAACTGCCTCAGGGCCCCTTTTAGTCATAAAGTCATATATATAGACACACACTCACACAGACACATACATATATATATGTGTATATATACACATATATATAATATTTCCCCACCCCATCAAATAATCTCATTGGATTTTCAGATCGCCTCCACTGACTCTTCCCTTCCACTTTATTTCCCAAAGCCGTTCCTAGACCCTTACGTTGCCTTTAATTCCTTTAATCCGCTTTTTAGTGACAGTGTGGCCAATGATCCCACTGGTTTATAAAATGTCATTTACCATCGGAGAGAATCATGGCTTCTTTTGTCTCTCTGAGTCATTTTCGGGGTTCTGGTGAAGTCGCCTGTCAGCAGGCTGGAAGCCCATGGGAAATGGGGCCAGGCAAGCACAGAAAGCCAGACCTGCAGATTTACCACAGCAATTTCTGTCTCTGGGTGTCCCCAGAAAGGAGTTCAAGAATATTACACCTCATGTCCTTTGAAAAGCATCAAAAGCAGTGTTTACTCATGGCACACAATGAAAACTAAAAATGACTCTCTCTCAGCCCAGCACGACAGGAGCCACCCCTGAATGTGCTTTGGCCTTAAAGCATCATGAGTGTTACTGGGGAAAAAAGGGAAATCAAGACCCAAAGCAATATACCAATTCATAAATATAGAATTAGCTGATTTTATTATTGAGTAAAGCAACCTCCATGAATACTTACAGGTGCCAGCAAGTGGCCGCAAAGCTGCAGTGGGTTTTCAGCTCTGTTTACATGGAATTGAGGCTACTGTTGCCATGCATCAGTCTCCTCGTGGTAAACAGCAGAGATTCAGTTTGCATCAGTAGTTACGCTGAGCTTACTCTGATGCCCTGCTTTTCCTCATTCTCTATCAGGCTTGCTCTGACGTCCTGCTCTTCATAATTCTCTATCAGTTCCTCCTCCAGTTGTCCCTGACAGTAGCACATATGATTAGGCATGTCCTTCAACATTCCTTAGTGAGATAAGATTAAGTTCTGTTTCCCCACAAAAGCTGTAGTTCCCCACAACTGCAAAAACCGTACTTTTTGCAGTTGGTTAATATGTACCCTGGACATAAACTGGGAGGTGCCCTAAATTCCAACAGGGGCCTCTGAATGTATTGTGAGGGCGTGATTGAAAATGCTGCATTTATCTTTTTGATTATACAATCAAATTGTATATGATTATACAATGTATCTATTTCCACTTCTTGTTCTCCATCCCCTGAGAACTATGTAACCCAGTTTATCCTGTAGCTTGTGATGCTATAGGAAATTAGAGGCCGCTGTACCCTTTTGGTTGTATTCTCAACCCTGGCTGCACAATAAAATGACCTGGGGCACACGCCTTTAAAAAATCCAGATGGGCAGGCCTCACGCAACAGTAACTGAGCCACATCTCTGGGGTGGGGCCCAACGTCATGTAGATTAAAGCTTCCTCTGGCAGGTGATTCTGAAATGTAGCCTGGATTGAGAGCTATTGCTTTATGGGACTCTTCAGGGTATATAGCTTTGCTTTTCTGTGTGTTTTTAATAGCCAAAAGAGAATTCCCATCACAATTTGGTGCAGGAGGTGGAGGGGGTGGCTGGGAAATCATTTCCCATCCTTTTACCCTGGAACAGGGTTTCTCGACCTCAGCACTGTTTGTTTATGTTTGGGGCCAGTTGGGGGCTGTGCTGTGCACTGTAGGATGTTTAGTAGCATCCCTGGCCTCTACCCACTAGATGCCAGGAACACCATCCCCAAGTTGGGACACCAAAAGTGTCTCCAGACATTGCCAGGTGTCCCTGGGGAGCAAAATACCCATCCTTATTCCTTCCTCCCACCCCCGGTTGAGAGCCACTGGTTCCCTAGGCAAGCTTTGTGTTAGTTCACAGTATGAGTTGAAGCACTGGGATAGCTCTGAATGCAGAATATAAAAACAAATATGACTTAAGGTAACGTACACTTATGCTTCACTGATGGTTCATTATATTTGAATATTTGGAAATTGCTCAAATTATAAAATAAGAATGTTTGCATCTAGAAATAGGACCTTTTTTAAAGGTAAAAGACAAGAAAGCTGTTAAATGTGAATTTTATTTTCATTACTGGGAATTTTGTGTAGCTTCGTCATTCCAAAATTAGCTTCCTTAAACCTCCATTAGTGAGATGAAGGTTTGAATTTCTTTTCAGTCGGTTCTAAATCAAAATCTAACAAACTCATTCCGATGAGATACCAGAAAAGAGAAAACAGGGCCTAGAAATTCCTCCTACAAAATACAGAAAATGGTCTTAAACAGCACCGTATTATTTCCTTATAACAATGTTGTAGCTTGTATGCTTTAAAAGAAGGAAAGGAAAAGTAGTCTTAGATCAACGAAACCGATGTGTGGCTTGTCTTATGATCTTCCCTCAGGACCCCCTTCTTTGATGCAGTTATGCCGCCTTAGAATTCGGAAGTGCTTTGGGATCCAGCAGCATCATAAGATCACCAGACTGGTCCTCCCCGAGGAGCTGACACGGTTTCTTCTACACATTTAAATGTGTCAAGGGAATGAAGTCACAAACAACAAACATCGAGTGTTGCAGCCATTGGAATTTTAAAGTCAAGTCAGGTTGAGAGAGCTTGGCTAGTTTTTTCAATTAGGGTTTTATTTTCAATGGAAAAACACTGGGTACTTTTGCATTATTGGTTGGAAGGCATGAAGACTTTTTTCCCTCCTGCCTGGAAGAGGGTGGCTAACATAACAACTACTGTGTTGAATATCTACTACATGCCGAGCACTGAGCTAGGAACACTTTATGCATCATCTGGTTTAGCCCTCTCAGCATCCCTACCAGGTGGGCACTAGTCCCTCCCCTTCTCCAGGTGAGATATAAGACCAGGGAGGTCAATTTGTCCACTTAGCCACAGCGAGGACGGGGAAGCCAGATTGGAGTATAGGTTTTCTTATGCTAACCTGGGGACTTCCGAGTGAGGTACAATTTCCCGGTATAACTATCCAGGCTCCATCTCCTTTACATAGGAAGGAAGATAGAGAAGACGTTTCTCTGTCTACGTCTGACTTTTTTTTTAAACCTTCCCTGTTCTTGTGACAAAACCACTACTGCCCTAGTAAAGTATAGGGGTCAGTTCTTTTTCTCAATCAAAATTTCATATATGTATTAGGCATATTCTAGAACCATGCTGTCCAATACAGTGGCTACTAGTCCAGTAGTTCTCACCCAGGGGCGATTTTGCCTCCTAGGGGACATCTGTCAATGTCTGGAGATGTTTTTGGTTGTTACAACTGGTGGTGGGGTGCTACTGGCATCTATTGGGTGGAGGCCAGGGCTGTTGCTAAACGTGCTACAATGCACAGGAGAGCCCCCACAGCAAAGAATTAGCCAGCCCAAAATGGAAATAGTGCTGAGGTTGAGAAACCCTATACCAGCCGTATGTGGCTATTTAAAAAATGTAAATTAATTAAAATTAGGTAAAATTAAAAATCTAGTTCCTCAGTGTCATTAGCCACATTTCAGGTGTTTATAACCACACATGGCTAGTGGCTACTGTATGGGACAGCACAGATATAGATCATTGCAGAAAGTTCTATTGCTCCATCATTGCAGAAATTTCTACTGGACAGTACTCTTCAGAAGCTCGATGAGTGGACTGTAACTGCCTTTCAGTTTCTAATTTACGTGAGACCTGTGATAGAATTTAGTAATGATGGCTGTAGTTTCAGTCTTCTGAGAGATGAATTTGGGGCTCCGTGGCATCAATAGAAAGAAAGAAAATATTGTACCTCCTTAAGGCAAATTCTTACCTATAAGATGACATATGGCCTAGATGATCTCTAATGACATTTTTGATATAATTTTCTGTGATTCAAAATTCAATTTGCTATATGAAAAATAATCTAGAATATTTTTCTAAAATGCCCAACTAGTTACCCAGCAGATGGCGCTGCTGCCACATAGTCATTTAAACAAAAGGCTTGCTCCTCATAAGTGACCCATTGTAAGATGGTGTACAACATAGACTCTGGAAATTTCCATTCAGGAATGAAAACTTTGTAGTGACAAATTGCATGGACACTGGGTTTTCTTTTCCTCTTCCAGTTTGCCCAAACATTCAAATGTGAGTTTACAGTACTTCACCTCCCTGGTCCTTTTTTTCCCCGTCTTGTTCTGGTCATGTTTACATTTGTAACTGCTCGGAATTTAGACAGAAAACGAACACCAGCGTTCTGCTACTTGCTAATTCACTTAATTTCATTAATTCATTTATTCAGGAAAAATATAGTGAGTGCCTCTGTCTGTGCCCGGCACTATCCTAGGCACCAGGGTGGCCACAGTGAAGGAGATAGGCAAAGACAGTGAACTCTCTGAATCTTACACTCTAGTTAGAAGAATTATTTGCTAAGGAGTAAGGAGCTGTAGGCATTTTGTTATGGTTTTCTTCTTGAAAACGCTAGTTTAAAAAATAGCCTGATTTCTCACATTAAATGTATTGGACAGACTCTTGCTTATGTTAATCTTCCCTTGGCCAAATCCTCTGAGCTTAACCCGGACTGTACAGAATTGCTGGAACAGCATTTTTCTTCTTAAATCTTCCAGACAATTAACCAATTTGCAAATCCATATAATAGATGGTCATCTCCTTAAATGTGAAAAAACCACCACCACCTCCCTCATTGCAATTTAGGAAAATTTCAAATTACCTCACTTAGCAATGTTCAGAAAGAAGATTCTATTTAAATAGGAAGCCTATTTTTATGATTCTAGATGTGGCTATATTTATAAGTGTCATACACCTTTGAACACTTTATCATCACAATCTGGCACAACTTCATAAATTCTATCCTCAAAGATGATTCAGTCACATTTAATAGACCCCCCACCTTCATGAAGGAAGGATGTAAATCTTTAGCCTCATGAAACCATCTTTTAAAAATGGTGGCACTGGCCCCATGGCCGAGTGGTTAAGTTTGTGTGCTCTGCTTTGGCAGCCCAGGGTTTTGCCGGTTCAAGTCCTGGGCACGGTCGTGGCACCGCTTGTCAAGCCAGGCTGAGGTGGCATCCTACATGCCACAGCGGGAAGGACCCACAACTGGAAATACACAACTATGTAGTGGGAGGCTTTGGGAGAAAAAGGAAAAATCTTTAAAAGAAAAAAAAGGGGCTGGGCTGGTGGCACAGCGGTTAAGTGTGCACATTCTGCTTTGGTGGCCCAGGGTTTGCTGGCCCAGATCCTGGGTGCGGACACGGCACTTTTTGGCAAGCCATGCTGTGACAGGCGTCCCACATATAAAGTAGAGGAAGATGGGCCCGGATGTTAGCTCAGGGCCAGTCTTCCTCAGCAAAAAGAGGAGGATTGGCAGCAGATGTTAGCTCAGGGCTGATCTTCCTCAAAAAAAAAACAAAGGTAATTACTTTGTTTTTAGAGTATAAACTTAACATATATTTATTGTAGCCCAGTCTCATATTATCAGTTTACTACATTCCCTTGGTTTTATCCAGTAGAAACGCTGACCAATTGGTACACATTGCTAGCACAATTCGTGTTACAATGAAAGAAGATGTCCATTGTACAATGCCCATGTACCAGGCTGGATTGGTGAGTCATTAAGCAGACAGTCGGGCCTTAGAACCAAGGGACCAAGATGTGCTCAGCTGTCTTTCTGGGGCTTGGGCTTGAGCATTTATAATATGATGAAGGCACAGCATTAGGGCTTGAGTATAAGACCAAGTCAGCATCAAAAGCAGCTAAACAACAGCTCCCATTCTGCAGAGCTTGCTACCAGCTAGGCCCCAGGCATCAGTGATACATAAGCTTTACCTCAAACCTTCACAACTTTGTTATCCCTATTTTAAAGATGGAGGTGCAGAGGGGTTGAGGAATTTGCAAAAATCACAGTCAGTAGGTCGTGAAGCCAAAATTTAAGGCAGAAGCCAGAGCTCTTAACCATGACACTCTCTGCCTTCTGTTTCCATCAATAAATCCTAGAGCTCTGGGTCCTAAAACCCCCTGCCCAGTTTCCCCTGTGTGTGTGAGAAGTGGAGGTGGAGCCGAGTCTGTAGGTCAAAGGTATTGGCGTGACATCAGAAGGCTATGCCAGGTTTGGGCTGGACATCACCCAGCCCTTTCCCCGACCAGATGAACCAGCCCGGGAGGCTCTAAACTTGCTGCCTCTTGGGGCAGGTGGGTCAGCTTTGCCCTGCCAGCAATGCTAGTGAGTGCACAACAATGCCTTCCCGTGGGACCAAGCCTAGTGTGGCAAATGAAAACATTTTTTTCTGAACTGAGAGCGTTTTGTACTGACTTTGTCAGTTACAAAATCTTTATCTGTAATGTGGCAGGGTAGAGGGGAAGCTGTCTGGGCTTTGAATAAAATCACCTGGCTGCTCATGTGCTAGTTGTGTATGTTTTTTCTTTTCTTTCTTGTTGTATTAGTGTTCTATTGCTGCATAACAAATTAAAACAAACTCAGTGGCTTAAAGCAACACAAGTTTATTATTTTGTAGTTTCTGAAGGTCAGAAGTCTAGGATTGCCGTGACTAGATTCTCTGCTCAGGGTCTCAGTGGTCTGAAATTAAGGTGTTGGCCAAAGGTATAGTTCTCAACATCCAGGGCTCAGGGGTCTTCCTCCAAGATCACTGGTTGTTGGCAGAATTCAGTTCCTTGGGGTTGTAGGACTCAGGTTCCTGGTTTCCTACCAGCTGTCAGCTGAGGACTGCTCTCATCATCTAGAGACCACCCACAGTTCCTTGCCATGTGGCCCCCTCCATAGGAAGTTCACAACATGGATGCTGGCTTTCTTCCAGGCCAAGTGGAGTACATCTCCCTGAGTTCCTGTGCTGTGGTCAGCTGGAGGAAACTCTTTGCTTCTAAAGGGCTCACCTGATTAGGTCAGGCATACCTGAATAATCTCCTGATTTTGGACCTTAATTATATTTGCAAAATTGCTTCAAATGAGCACCTAGATTAGTGTTTACTTGAATAACTGGCAGAAGGGCTTCGTATACCAGGGGCCCAGAATCTGCTAAATGGCTAATAACCATCAATTTTGTATTGACAAAGTCCAATGTATAGCAACATGGTAATGATTATTTTTGTTATTCAATCAAATATGTATATAGTGCTTATTCTATGCCAGGCATGGCTCTAAGAATTTCACAAACGACTCGTATAATACTTATAATAATCCTGTGATATAGGTGTGTTGTTATATTCATTTTACAGCTAAGGAAACAGGCACAGAGAGGTCAAGTAGCTTCCCCAAGATCATACAGCTGTGTCAGGGGCCACATAGTTCCTTTAATCACATCAAGCCTAGATCAACAAGTTTGGCAATGGATGAATGAAGGTCCAGATGGGGCCAATAAGTGGGACTTCTCAGCCTTGACTCCATTCCCTTTGAACCTGCTCACTAAGTACAAGGTCACTGGCATGCCTGCCATGGGGGTGAGGTGGGGGAGTGTTACTCTCTCTTATGCTGGCCTTTGTGACTCTTCTGTAAATCTAGGTATGTTATGAACTGAATGTTTGTGTCCCCCCCAAATTCATATGTTTAAATCCTAATCCCCAAGGTGATGGTGTTAGCAAGTGGGGCCCTTGGGAGGTGATTAGGTTATGAGGGTGGAGCCCTCATGATGGGATTAGTGCCCTTATAAAAGAAACCCCAGAGAGCTCTCTTGCCCTTTTCACCATGTGAGGACACAGTGAGAAGGTGGCCATTTATGAACCAGGAAGCCAGTCTCCACCAGGCTCCGAATCCACCAGCTCCTTGATCATAGACTGCCTAGCTCCCAGAATGGTGAGAAAGAAATGCTTGTTGTTTAAGCCACCCAGTCTATAGTATTTTTGTTATAGCAGCCTGAATGGACTAAGACGAGGAAGGACAGGTTCGATTAGGCAGACGTTTTATAGGAGACTTCACTAAAGTTTATTGAATCCAAAAGGGGAGCCAAGTAATAAGCTCACAAAATGCAGCTAAGTATGCTACCTGTCTGCCTCCTGGCCTTGCCCCTGGCCAACTCCCCTCAGGCAGAGGACATTAGTCTCTTACCTCTCCTGACTTCCCTCCAGCACTTATCTGTGGTGTCTCCTTCACACCCAAAAGGGAAAAGCCCGGAAATGGATAGGAGCCCCCTGGCCTTCCTTCTGCTCAAGGCTGACATTCCATACTCTGGTTTCCTATCTGATTCCCTGGTGATATCACTGGGAGTGGCCAGCCCCTACTCACCAAAGCATGGACTTACTCTACAGCCACAGGAGGTCTGTCTTATTAGATGGCCCAGAAGCCCCCAAATGCCAGAGGCACTCACCATCAGGGACAGGATAAGGGGGCCTTCTGTTAATGTAATCTGGAAGCTTCTTCTGGTGAGTCAAGAGCAGGCACTCCTAGGACTTCTGTGTCTTGCTCCAGTCCCACCCATCAGAGTGTTTGGGCTGGGACTGAGGAAGTTTGGCTTCTGCCA